ACTAACAGACTAAAGGGAGAAACAGATAAGAAGACATTTATAGTAGGGGAACTAAATACCCCACTGTCATCTTGATCATCCAAACAGAAAATCAATAAAAAATATCCTCCTTAAATGACACATTAGACCAAGGGGACATAATCGACATTTACAGAGCCTTTCATCCCAAAACAGCACCTTGTACATTCTCTAGTGCACAAAGAACATTCTCAAGGATAGACCTTATGTTAGGAAACAAAAATAGCCTCAAAATTTTTTGAGAAGATTGAAATCATACCAAACATATTCTCTGACCACAATGCTTTGAAACTGGAGATGAACTGCAAAAGGAAAGCAGGAAAACACACAAATATGTGGAAATAAAACAACATGCTACCAAAGAACAACTGGGTCAAAAAATAAATAAAGGAGAAATCAAAAGACATATAGAAACAAATGAGAATAAAATTACAACATATCAAAACTTTTGAATACAGCAAAAGCAATAATAAATGGAAAGTTCATATTCATTACAGGCCTATTTTAAGAATCAAGAATGATCCCATATAAACAATTTAATATTACATCTTAAAGAAGTAAAAAAAAAAAAGAACAAATGAAGCCCAAAGTCAGCAGAAAACAGGAAATAATAAAAATCAGAGCAGAATTAAATGAAATTGAGAAGAAAAAGACAGTAGAAAAAAATTAATGCAACAAAGATCTGGTTCTTGAAAAGATCAATACAATTGACAAACCTCTGGCTAGACTCACTATGAAAAATACCTCTAATGAATAAAATCAGAAATGAAAGAGAAATTATGACAGATACCACAGAAATACAAAGGGTCAAACAAGAATACTGTGAGAAAATATATGCCACCAAATTCAAAAACTTAGAATAGATAAGTTCTTAGAAATATGCAACCTCTCTGGATTGAATCATGAAGAACTGGAAAATCTAAATAAATAATCAAAAGTAAGGAAATTGAAAAAATCATCAAAACCCCCCCAAAAGCCAAAGTCTGGGACCAGATGGCTTCACTACTGAATTCTACCAAACATTCAAAGATTTAATACCTATTCTCTCCAAACTCTTCCAAAAAAATCAAAGAGGAGGCATTACTTCCTAACTCATTTTATGAAGCCAATATTACCCTATTACCAAAACCTAGTAAAGATAACAGAAAAAAGAAATCTACAGACCAATATCTCTCATGAACACAGATGCAAAAATCCTAAATAAGATACTAGCGAACCGAATACAGCAACATATTAAAAGGATTATAAACCAAGATCAAGTGGGCTTCATCCCAGGGGCACAAGGGTGGTTCGACATACACAAATCGATTAATGTGATACACTACATAAACAAAATACAGGATAAAAATATTATGATCATATCAATAGATACAGAAAAATAATTTGACAAGATAGAGCATCCATTTATGATTAAAAGAGTTAAGAAAATGGGTCTAGAAGAAAAGTACCTCAACATAATAAAGGCCATATGTGACAAACCCTCAGGTAATATCATACTTAATGATGAAAAATGAAAAACCTTCACTCTAAAATCAGGAACAAGACAAAGCTGTCTTCTATCATGCCTATCATTCAATATAGTGATGGAAGACCTAGCTAGAGCAATCAGGCAAGAGAAAGAAATAAAAGACATCCAAATTGGGAATGACAAAGTTGAATTGTCACTTTTTGCAAATGACATAATTATATAGAAAATCCAAAAGATTCCACCAAAAAACGATGAGAAACAATAATCAAATACAGTAAAGTTTCAGGATACAAAATGAATGTACAAAAATCCATTTCATTTCTGTACACTAAAAATGAAATTTTAGAAAAAGAAATGAAAAATAAAAACAATTCCCTTTGCAATTATAGCAATGAAAATAAAATATTTAGGAATAAACTTAACAAAGCATATGAAGGACCTATACACTGAAAACTACAAGACATTATTAAGAGAAACTGAAGAAGGAATGGAAGGATATTTCATGTTCATGGATTGGAAGAATCAACATAGTTAATATGGCCATATTACCCAAAGCAATATTCAAATTTAATGCAATTCCCATCAAAATCCCAGTGGCGTTATTTAAAGAAATAGAACAAAAAATTATCAGATTTGTATGGAAATACAAAAAGCCTAACTAGCCAAAGTAATCCTGAGAAACAAAATGAGGCCAGAGGTATCATACTTCCTGACATCAAATTATTCTACAAAGAGACAATAATCAAAATGGCATGGTATTGGCAGAAAAACAAACACAGTCCAGTGGAACAGAATCGGGAGTCCAGAAGTAAACCCATATATATTGGCAAATAATTTTCAACAAAAGAGCCAAAAATATACAATGGAGAAAAGAAAGCTTCTTCAATAAATGCTGGAAAATTGGAAAGCCACATATTAAAGAATGAAACCAGCCTTCTGTCACCATTCACCAAAATTAACCCAAAATGGATCAAAAACCGAAATATAAGACTTGAAAGAATAAATTGCATGGAAGAAAAGAAGGTACTAAACTCATGGACCTTGGATTTAGAGAGTATTTTATGAATTTGGCCTCAAAAGCAAGAGAAGTAAAAGCAAAAATAAATGAATGGGAACCTACCAAACTAAAAAGCTTCTATACAGTAAAAGAATCCATCAACAAAACAAAGAGACAACCAACTGAATGGGGGAATATATTTGCAAACAAAGCCTCTAACAAGGTGCTAATATCCAAAATATATAAAGAACTTATATAACTCTACCAAAAAAAAAAAAAAACAATCTAATTAAAAAATGTGCAGAGGACCTGAACTGACACTTCTCCCAAGAAGACAGATAAGTGTTGAACAGACATATGAAAAAATATTCAGTTTCACTAGCTATTGGAGAAATGCAAATCAAAACCACAATGAGATATCATCTCACACCTGTTAGAACGGCTATTATCAGCATGACAAGTAATAACAAGTGGAGAAGTCGTGGGTAAAAAGGAACCCTTGTAAACTGCTGATGGGGATGTAAATTAGTACAGCCACTATAGAAAACAGTATACATTTTCTCAAAAAAATTAAAGAATAAAATTACCATATGACCCAGAAATCTCTCCTTTGCATATCTGTAATGCAAGAGCACCAGGCCTGGAACGTGCATCTAAGTTTGGATATTCCGGAAAAACCACCAAGAGGACCAGAGGGGTGAGAAATGTCGTTTCTTATTCACAAGGCAGGGAAGCTTCGGTAGAGGCCTGTCAGAACTTCAGGGAGAAAAACCACTGACAGAGAGCAAGCAGAGTTTTTTATGCACACAAGCAGAGGGAGGCTTATCTTATTGGGGGAGTGTATGCCTTCTCCGAGAGATGGGAGTAAAGATGTGCTGCTTAGTTACAGGAACAGATAATGTCCATGGGAGCAGCAGAAAACTTCCTTGGGTGTAGGCACTACTGAAAGCTCTTTATGTACTGCCTTCCTTGGCTGCTGGCTGGGCAGCTGTCAGTCTTCTGAGTATGTGGAGGGGCTATGTTCTGAGTTAACCATATAGTATGTATCCAAAAAACTTAAGAACATTTCTTCATAAAGACATATGTACCCCTATGTTCATTGCGGTATTATCCACTATGTCCAAGACATAGAAACAACCAAAGTGTCTCTCAATTGATGATTGGATAAAGAAGATGTGGTGCATATATACAATGGAATACTACTCAGCCATAAGAAAAGATGAAATACTGCTATTTGGACAGCATGGATGGATTTTGAGAATATCATGCCAAGCAAAATAAGTCAGACAGGAAAAGTTGAGAACCATATGATTTCACTCATCTTTGGAATATAAAATTGAAAGCAACAAATGAACAAGACAAACAAACAAGAAGTCATAGACACAGAAAACAGATTAGTGGTTACCAGAGGGAAATAGGGAAGGGGAAAGGGGGAGGTAGATAAAGATAAAAGACATCCAATATATGGTGACAGAAGGAAATTTAACTTTGGGTGGTGAACACACAATTCAATATATATATGATGTATTATTGAATTGTCCACTTGAAACTTATATATTTTTGTTAACCATTGTCACCCAATAAATTTAATTTTAAAAAATTTAAAAGGAATAAATAAAAAAAGAAATTGAAGGTACTCGCTTTGAAAAACTTTAAAGTTTTTGAGAGTTTTCATGTTTTTTTCCCCCTAGTACCTTTGAAGATACATTGTCACCTCTTAATAAAAGAAACTAAAGGTTTTTGTTTCAACTATCTAGGATAACTGACCCTTTGTTTGCAATTTTCAGCATTATTCTGTGTGCCTTGGCTCTAATATACTATTTGTTGGATAATAACTAGTTGGTATATAGGGTGGTTGCTATGTTTAATATAGTAAATTTGACCAACTCATTTATTTTGGTATAAACCTGTTTCTGCCCTCTGGAGATTATTCTTGGTTAGGGCAAAAGTATAAATCAAGCTATCTATGTAAATACAGATGGCTTTCCTTTGAAGAAAAGGAGTTAGAAATGTACAAATTATGTTCACTTTATAAAAACACTTAACACTTGTTTTAGTTTTCCATGTTCCTATAAGATGCAGACTTTTTACTTTATACATGCTACTTAGTAATTAGATCATAAATGTCCCCCTAACAGTTTGCAAATTGATTCATATAGTCTTAATTTCTTTCTCAAAACACTGATGTGAAGCCATGTGTCCTCCAACAGGAGGAAATGTAGTGTAAGCCCCATATAAATAAAGTATAAACAAGAAATATTAGAAAAATTATGATGGTTATATATTGGTAAATAATGAAAAATATATTTTCTTTGCCATTTTTATCACTTATATGATATAAGATACTCACCTATTTGCTAAATTTAGTATTGATTGTTTCTTATCACTTAATAACTATATTTAAGTTTATTTCATTGGTTGTTATGCAAGTTATTTGGACTTTTAACTAATTTTCTTTTTCTCTTTTTCTTTTTCTCTCCCCAGAAATGATGGCTTTATGAATTCAATTCAAACTTTCTCTTCTCGATTTTAATCTTTTGTTGCTTAAGACTGAAGCAATCATGGTCAACGTGAGGAAAGTGGTGCATTCATTCCTGTAAGGATGTCATTACTTATTATTTTTTAAAAGATAACTTGTTATGATAGTTTGTTCAAAAATATTAAAAAGACTTTTCTATGATCATTCAGGTATATTTGTCTCAATGTGCATAAATGAGTTTCATTACAATAGACTGATATTATGGGTGTTTCCTATTCAAAACCAAAAATAGGAAAAAAAAAAACAATTATTTGAATTCCAGTTAAACACAGCCACTCATGTATACAAGTGAGTAATATGTAATAATACCTTCAAATCAAAAAGAATTCCAATGCCTGTGGTAGTTTTCTTTATGGCTAAAACATATTTATAAGAAGAATTATTTTTTCCTTTTTCTTCCTGAATGAACTGAACAGCCAAGAGAATAAAGTGTCTTTATAAGTCTCTGGTTTTATGAAGAATATTTGAGGTTGCAAAAGAATGTATCAGAAGTCAACGAGTAAGGTTTGAGGTATGTAGCTAGACAGAAAAAAACAATGTCATTTTTGGCAATCTTGATACAATGGCCCAGTAGCTAAAGTCAAAAAAATGTAACATAAAGGGGATAAGTAAAAAAATGGATTCAAGTACTGGGCAATTTTAAACATGATCTAATCCAGGCATATCTTCTTTTTAAATTGGAAAAATGTAAGGTTTTTTTTTTTCTAAACCTTCTCTTTGAGGAATGAGACATTGAAATACGATCTAGGGCTCTGAAATTCTGACTAGTACGATGAAGAAGGCTTGCATTGCCTTACTTCTACACAGTCTCCTCTATGATTCTTGGTGAAAGAGCTCACCAAAGAAAAAAGTTTACAGAGTAGTGTAGATATAAAGTATATCAACATTGGTTCTTCTGCAATATGCACCATTGTTGCCCATCTTAGATGTCATTGTACATTTTAGTGATGATAGTCTCGAGGATATGTGATTCCAAGAAGACTAGAGGAGACAGGAAAAGTAAAGGATGAAGGACAGTGATAAAGAAAGAATCAGGTATAAGAAAATGAAAGAACAAATGTTTCATGCATCTATGCCAATTCAATATATACTCATTGGTCTATATATCAAAATGTAGGACTTTTAAAAGTCACCAAATTTTTCTGGTATGAAGTTAAGGAATTCATATCCATTTTATTTCCATTCTATTAAGAGAAACAAGGGACAATTCATATCTAATAATACTCATTGTCATATGCCATGGAAAAATTCAGTAGATTTTTTTAAATGTACTCAGACTTTCAAATCAAATTATCATTTTGCTTATCTACTAAGAATGTAAAATTATATTTTCATTAAAATTTAGTAGCAATGAACAAATTATATGCATTGTTCAGAGAGAACTTGTGATTTCTGTGAAAAAATTTTCTGAGCCTTCTGTGGATATAAAAATAATTAATGTAAGCTTTAAGAGCAAAAAATAAATTATTCCTATTTTGTAAAAAAAAAACTGTATATATTTCAGTGAGTATATAAATATTAGAAATTAGGTTTAATTTAATTATAATATACCCCATTCTTCATTACAAAATGATAGAAAATAGGATTGGACTGCAATAAAACTCATAATACTTTGCCCATATTAGTACTCAATAAGAAATTATTAAATTGAATTGAACTAAACCCAGACAACTGAAATAATATACTCTTTCAGGATCTTTCCCAGCACCATTATTTTATTTTATAATTCACAATAGATATATTAAAATTCTACAAGCTTCCTCATTAATTCAATATTTGTCTTATGGACTCTTTAATAAAATTTATATGTATCTGACCAGTAGAGGGAGGCAAGATGACTTCTTGAAGTGGTTTTCTACTTCCAAATTCTAAGATACTCAAATTATAAAATTTATAACTGGACATAGTTTTTCATGTATTTTTGTAATGTATGATTTTATTGTGTATTACTCTACTCTTTTTAGAGAAATATGAAAGGATTTAGATGTTTTCACAATTTACTTAAATAATGTGAAGTTGAACTGCATATTCTGTTAGGACCTTATTCTTTAGGCTTAAGGATAAATATATTTGTGGTCCTGTAACTGACAATTAAAGAAGAAGCATATTTTTGTGAGTATAAATCCTTGTAGGACTACTTAAAATGGTCACCAGATAATTTAAACCAGAAAAATAATTAAATACCAGAAGGGCAATTTTTTTTATTATGTAGACCAGAAAAGACTCCAGCTTTAAAATTACTGAGCCCAGTTCTGCATAAAAAGGTATCTTCTTAAAATAAAATCAGAACTTAAATTCTTGACAAATTTTAAACTAAATGAGTTGGGGTATAGTTACCATAAAATACTTTTGTTTAACTTTGAAGACAGAAAGAAGGTAAGCTCCAACATTTGCTGAAGACCTATTATAACAAAGGTACTATTTCAGGACTTTACACATATCATTTAATTTTCACATTAGTCATATGATAGAAGTCATCCTCATTGTCCGGATGAGGGAATTGATGTTCTAAGAGGTTAAGTGACTGGTCAAAAAAATAATTGAGGTCATGTAGCCAGGATATTGGCCATTACGTCCAATGAAATAAATACAATGACAGAATAATCAAAGCTGAGAGCAAAAAACTTGCTTTTATTTAGTTGGTCCTTTATTTCAGTAATTTCTATTCATAATCATAGAATAGTAATTATATAGATTACTTGAATCATGTATTATTTTTTATGTTGCAGGAAAATAATATGGCCTGCATTGGAAAGAATTTACTAATTACTTCTCATTACTTGATAAAAATTACTATTTATGTCTTATTCCTCCATATTGCTTAGAGTACCAGCTAGCTTTGACTAATGAGGAAGTAATTTTAAGCTAAATGTCTGAAATATTAGTTTTCTATCTCTTGTAGAATGAGAAAATCAAAATATTTTCATGATTTCTTCATTATCTTAAAATACATAGAAGTATATTAACAAGATATTAAGAGAAATAATGTTTAAATATGGAAGAAAATTATTACAATATTTTTACTGAAGTTTAAATAATACCTATATTTTCCAGGCTAAATGTTCCAGTTTGGTTCAGAAAGTATGCTGGGAGTAAATGTGTGTGCGTATAATAGTATAGATATGATATGATTATTATAATCACAATCATCTACTTTTAGTGCTGTAAGTTTCTCTGACAATTGATAATAATGAGCAATGAGTCAATCAAAACACACATATTTTTCCTATATAGAGATAATATTTTAAGTTCAAAGAACAAGTGAATGAGATAGTAAAATAGAAAGCATTTATGCAAAGAATGCATAGACTTTGGAAAGAGGGAAAAAAAACACCGTAGATGACAGAGGCTCTGTTCATCCCTCTGGCAACCAAATCAAAGTTGTGATGGAAACAAGGAGCAACAGCAAGAAGCCATACAACTAGAGAGAAATCCAAGAAATCACCCTGCAATGGCAGAAGGTAGGACGGGGCAAGGACACAGAGCTGCCTGGTCCTGAGCAGCTGAGGAAGATGGAGGCTACAGTAGCAGCAATGGCAAAAGACTCTTAAAGGGGCCGTATCCATGAGCAGATTTTCATGGTGATGAACTTGCTCACTCTGAGCACCAATGCTGATTCGGCTGCGCACAGAGGGCACCAAAGACTTACAGGGAATCATTGTCGGAGTGAGGGCCTAGGCAAGACTCACTCTGTACAGAAGTGCTGGCAGTATCCATTGTTCCTTGTTGAGCCCTCCTTGCTCCCAGTGCACAGACAAAGCATCGTTATAGCCCAGACATCATCAAACTGGATAACAGAGGTCGCTCCGCCCAGAGGATTCCCTGAAACCCCGCCTCCCGCAACTCACGGCCCAACCCAAGCCACATCAGGTATATCCTCAGCAAGTCAGGTGCTCCTTGCTGAGCAGCACCAAGACTCACACTAGAGGCAGATGGCCTCGGTTTCTGGTGTGGCCTTTTGAGAAAACTATAAGCATAGCATCTGTGGATTGCTTGCTGAAATTTAACAGGTAACCCCAGAGGTGTAGAGACTTGGGCTAAATTTAGGTCACAGCTGAACTCCTCTCAGAACTGTGCCACTGAATACCTACTATACAAAGCCATGCTAATAAGGTCGGGAGACTTAGGAACTTTGCTTAATACAGACACAGAAAGGCAGCCAAAATGGGAAGACAAAGAAGCAGAAACCATATGAAAAAACAGAACAGAGATCCAGATATAATGGAGTCGAGTAATCTAACCGATGCAGAGTTCAAAACACTAGTTAGATGAATGCTCAATGAACTTAGGCAAAATGTAGATGAATTCAGTGAGAACTTCAACAAAGAGATATAAAATATAAAAATGGAAATGGAAATTATAAAAGAGAACCAGTCTAAAATGAAGAACACATTATCTGAGATGAGAAGTACATTAAATGGAATAAACAAAGGACTAAACAAAGTGAATAAAGAAAAGAATCAAATGCCTTATCTAGAGGACTGGAAAGCCAAGGACACACAATCAGAATGGCATGAGATGAGATGCCAAGACTATAAAAATAATCTAAGGACCATATGAGACACAATTAAGGGTCCAAATAACTGAAGAAAATCGAGATGTTGAACAGCTGTTTGAAGAAATAATAATGGAAAACTTCCCTGACCTGGTAAAAGAAATGAACATAAAACCCCAGGAAACTCAGAGAATTCCAAAAATCAGGGATCCAAAGAGGCCCACACCAAGACACATCATAATTAAAATGCCAAAATTTAAATACAAAGAAAGAATATTAAAAGCAGCAAGAGAAAAACAGATCATTACTTATAAGGGAACACCCATAAGACCAGCAGCTGATTTCTCAAAAGAAACTATGCAGGACAGAAGGGCTTGGCAAAAAATATTCAACAAGATAAAGACCCAGGATTTACAACCAAGAATACTTTATCCATCAAAGCTAACATTTAGGGTTGAAGGACAGATGAAGAGCTTCTCAGACAAAAGCAAGCTAAAGGAACTTATCACCATCAAGCCATTATTACAGGAAATGTTGGCGGGACTTCTTTAAGAAGAAAAAAACATGTATTAAAAACAGGAATAAAGAATGGTAACAACTACATTCCTATCAATAAATACCTTAAATGGAAAATAATTAAGTGCTCCAACCAAAAGACAGAATGGCTGAAAGGATAAGAAAATAAGACTCGTACATATGCTGCCTACAAAAGACTCACTTCAGATTAAAAGACACGCACAGACTAAAAGGAAGAGGATGAAAAAAGATATTGCTCTGATGGACCTAGAAGATATTTAAGTCAGACAGAGAAAGATAAACAATATATGATTTTACTTATATGCAGAATCTAAGGAAAAAAGAGAACAAACTAATTAAAACAGACTCACAAATATAGTGGACTATTTGGTGGTGGACAGAGGGGAGGAGGGTTTGGGGCCTGGGAGAATGGGATGAAGAGTTAAAGAAGTACAAACTAGTAGGTGATGGTTGGTCATGGGGATTAGGAGCATTGCATAGGGAATGCAGTTAACATGAATACGTTGGAGGATCAGGGGAGGGAGGGAGAAATTGGGAGGATCGTTTTATGAACTATATAGGTGTCTAACCAATGTACTGTATAATTGAAACTAATTAAAATAAATGAATAAAAAGAATGCATAGACTTTGGATGTTTTAATGTCATATGTTTCATCTCCCCAATTCCAGAAAGAATCTTACTTTAACTTTCATGCACAGAAAATTGTTCGGCACATGTTGTACCAGTAGAGGAAATTTTCTCCCATGTAAATAATATCAGAGCTTAACAACCACTACTTATAATCTAGTCTCTGCTTAATGTTCATTAAATAACTATTATTGAACACAGAATACACATAAGACAGTCATTAATAGATAATAATCTTTGATTTTAAGCAGGAAATATTGAATATGCTTGTCTGTCTTATCTATTTTATTAAGGAAAATAAATGTTAGTTTATTAGACAATTTAAGAATATACACTTTGAGAGAACACTTAATGTATATAACTTAAATAAATTTCATATCATCATTGGGGGAAACTAATTTATAATGTGCAAAACACATCCATTTCTGAACTTCAGTCTTCTCATCTACATAATGGATATAAGTCAGTACTGACCTCACAAGGTTGTCGTATGAGATCAAATGAAATTATACATACATATTTCGGTAAGCTAAGTGCCTGACTCAATAAAAGTTAATATTCTTCGGACAGAGAGAAAACACCGAAATTTAATTGGAAGACTAGAAATAATGGCGATGATGATGATTGTTGATGGAAAAATAATTGTTTTGTATAGCAATTTATCGGATTTAAGCAACATAATAGATACCTAAATATTGTTTTTCTTCTTAATTTTCAGCGTGCACCTAATTGGCCTATTGGTTTGGCAATGCGATATTTCTGTGAGCCCAGTTGCAGCTATAGTAACTGACATTTTCAATACCTCCGATGGTGGACGCTTCAAATTCCCAGACGGGGTACAAAACTGGCCAGCACTTTCAATCATCATAATCATAATCTTGACAATAGGTGGCAACATTCTAGTTATCATGGCAGTAAGCTTGGAAAAGAAACTACACAATGCCACCAATTACTTCTTAATGTCCCTAGCAATTGCTGATATGCTGGTGGGACTACTTGTCATGCCACTGTCTCTGCTTGCAATCCTTTATGGTAAGTTCAATTTTATTCATTTTTCAGTCTTAGATTATATCATAAATTTGTGTCAGGTATCACAGTAAACACTCATAAAGTTAAATATTTTGCTCGTATCATTTAGAAAAGGAAGAAAAAAGCAAACTGTGTGATAAAAGGATTGGATGTGTGTATAATTATTTAAAAAATCAGCAGTCTTTAAAAAGCAAAACAAACATTTTGTAATATATTAAAATCATACATAGTTACTCTATTGCTTAGTGTCATTTGTAAACAATGATAGTTGGCTTACAATGTACAGAATGAGACAGTGACAGAAGCGTGCTCCCACTCCTATGTTCTGGACAGTATATATACCTAGTACCATCTCTTATACAAAGAAGGACAAAGAGGCTATCATCTTTAATAGATATATTTTAAGTAGCCATTTTTTTTAAATGTTGGCAAAGTGCTTAGCACATAATAAGCATTCAATAATAGCTATTCTTCATGGAGTCTACAATTCATGTTTTTATAAGGAGACAGGGGATAACAAATTAATTACTAATATATAAGTGCAAGGTCACATTATCGCAATAAAAATTCAAGCATGAAAAGTTTTGATATATTGATTTTAGAGAGGTTTTAAATTTTTCTTTTCATTTTTTTTGTCATCTCTTTGTCCTATTTCTTTAACCTAAATTTTGTTTTTAGCTAATAGTTATAATGAACAATCAAATCACTTAAAGTGCCTTTACTGGGAAATTGGAGTTTCAATTTAACTGTTGATATGCTCATCTCACAAAGGAGTGAAATAGACTTCTTGTTCCCTGGAGTGTATAATGGAGTTAGACCAGAAGAAGTAATATCGAAAGTGTACCTAGTTCTCAAATCCTAACAGAAGATCACTGGATGTAGAAAATCTTCACAAAACAAAAATTATTCATCCTGCTCTAAATATACAATAGTAATAGATTACCTCAATAAACATTTTATAAATAGTGTTCTCAGAAAATATGCTTTTCTTATCTTTATTATTTTAATGATGCATTAACCTCAAAGCATAAGTATTTTAACTGCTCAGTGAGCATTTTACCACTCACAAGCTCCCAAATTATTTTAGAAAGGTTACTGGAATTAATTTGCTTTAGAAGATATACTTTATCTTGTGGTGTCTCTTTCATTTAGCCAGTTTATCCTTTGAAAAATATAAGGATGATACGAAAATGTCATCAACCTAAATACAAATCTAACACATCCATCCCCCAACCCAAATAGTAAAGAACAATAAGAAGAAATAAAACTACACAATACTACCACCAAATTTGGAGAACGACCAAATTCCAAATTATCTTTAAGCAGAAAAATAAACAGGAGATTGCAATGAGATATCTATTAAGTTCCCAACACATGCTGCTGTGTAGAGAAAGAGAAGTTCAGGAAATACTGCATGAAAGAGAGAAGAAGAAAGCTAGCAAGAAGCTTAAGGTTGATCTACAATCATTGCAAAAAAAAAAAGAAAGTTTACCCCGGTTACAAAAATTCTCAAGTTTTTCTGGAAACTCAGCCTTTAGGGGAATAATTTAGAAGTGTGCATCGGACTCAAGAAACCAGTCTTGGAAAAGAAACTCTTTGGAGTTATATATAAAAGGGTAAAAAAAAAGAAAGGGAGAGATAAATTTTGAAAAAAAAAAAAGTACAGTTAAGGGGAAAAAAGAGGGAAAATTTTTCAACTTACAAGACAAAAAATAAGTCAGCATATAATGATGCATTAACCCTACAACCTACTCCCCTCCACTGTACCTCAAAAGCCATCGTTAAAGAAACCATACTTCGTTATATGGAGAGAAGAGGCCACACTTGAGCTTAGAAACCACTCATAAACTGCCAATCATGTTCATACAAATTCAAAGATGCAACCAATCTTAATCTATACCAAGCTACCATAAAAAGAAAGCAGAAGAGAATAAAAAAGTCATTTGATAAAAATTTCCAGCAATAAAAAATTACCAAGAAAAAGAAAATTATAACAAAATACTGCAAACAAAATTAAATTTCCTCAGTCATTTGAAGGTATGAAAAAAATGCCTTGAAGTAGAAATCTAAAACCTAAAAAAGAAATGGACAAAAAAATTTGGTCAAGCGAAAGTTGATGAACCCAGGACAATAAAATAGAAGAAAAAGATAAAATCATATCAGAAATGAACATTCAATTAAAAGTTCCTAGAGAATAAATTGATATAAAAACTTAATAAGGAACATTAAAGCAAAACAGGGAATCAACAAAGAATGAAGATGAGATAAAGAAAAAAGAAAAAGCAGTCAGAAAGAAAGTGTCTGAGACAAAAGACCAGCAAAAAAAGAAAAAGAAGTGTGTATAATGAGAATCCTTGAAAAAATAATGGAACAAATTAATATTTAAAATTATAGGAAAGTTTTCCCGAAGTGAAAGAGTCTGAATCTACAGTTTGATAAAGCCAACCCAGTACCAGAAATGTGACCTGGAACAATCAACTCTGAGATATATCTGAGACATTAGATTTGTAAAATAAAGAAAAAATCTTTAAGGATTCCAGGCAAAAATAAGGAATAATTTACAAGAACAAGAGAATTGGACTAGCCTCACAATTAACAAAAATAACAAAGCAAACCAACAAGAAGAAATATTTTTTAAAAGACAAACATTTTTGGAATATATTTTTAAAAAATCTATAAAGACAGAAAAGAGATAATTACTTTTCAGGGGCTGAAGGTGGTAGGATGATGCCAAATGGACATTTGCTTTGATATTATGAAACTGTTCTACATCTTCATTGTGGTGGTAGTATATATATTTCTCAAAATTTGAACAACTATAAATTCTAGTATGCATTTTAAGAGGATGAATTTACTATATGTAAGTAAAACTTTAAATTAAAATATACATCTTTGTGCATAAATGTTTTCAATTTTGGGAGGTAGAAACCCAGAGGAGGGATTGCTGGGTCATGTGATAATGCCATTTTTAGTTTTTTGAGGAACCTCCACAGTTTTCCATAGTGGCTGTACCAATTTACATCCACACCAGCAGTGTGAGGGTACCTGTCCACAACCTTTCTAACACTTGTTATTTGTATTGTTGATCATAGCCATTCTTACAGGTATGGAGTAGTATCTCATTGTGGTTTTGATTCGCGTTCTTCTAATAGCTAGTGAAGTTGATAATTGAATTGTACACTTGAAACCTATATAATTTTATTAACCAATGTCACCTTAATAAGTTTTAAAAAAAATAAAATGAAAATGAAAATAAACTACATACTAAATTAAATGAATCATTTTGAAATCTAGAGTTCAAATGTTGGCATTCAAGCACTATATTAATGTAAGAATGTCTATGATCAATTTGGTGACAGAGTGGAGGGGATGTTGAGGGCTGGAAGAATGGGGTGAAGTGTTTTAAAGAAGTACAAATTAGTAGTTGATAGATCATCATGGGAATGGGGAGCATGGCAAGGGAATGGAGTTAGCATTAATATGTTGGCTAAGTGGAGGGCCAGGGGAGGGAGGGAGCAATTGGCAGAATCATTTTATGAATTGTATAGATGTCTAACTAATGTACTGTATACTTGAAACTAATTTAAATAAATAAATTAACTGAAAAAAAAAAAGAAATTAAGTAGTGAATGGGATTCAATTAACAAAGAAAAGCCTGGGAAAATTTCATCAAAAAGGCTGATGATGAGTATTTAATATATTTAATTTTAGAGCTATGACAAAAACAAAATTGACATAAGAGATGAAGAATACTGTTATAGAAAATATATTATTTATTATATACTCCAACAAATTAGAAACAGTGCAACTGAAAATTGGGAAAAGAGGAAAGAAAAAAAGAAACAGGTAGTAGAATGCTTTAATTGATTTTTCTATAACCAAAAGGTGAGAGTTAAATGATACCAAAGAATCCTGGTAAACCAGAGAAATAGACTTAATAAGAATATAGGAATCTAAGAGTATTAAACATAATATGAATAAAATATGATATAAACATGATATAAAGTTAAACACTAGAGCAAAAATACAAACCTTCCTAAAATCAAAAGATATGTAATTAATAGAAGAGAAAAAAAATCAAGTAGAGGAAGAAACACAAGAAAATTAAATATAATACTCTCAACATTATACTCTGATATAATATGACAGAGTTGAAAATAAACATATCAGTAATGGCAGTAAACTTGAATGAACCTAACTCGCTATTGAAAATAAAAGATTTTTAACGTGGCTTGCAAAAAGAAGATCCAAATATATTCTGTATATATAAGAGGAACCCTTAAAACTCAGTGCTTTATAATAACTAGAAATAAAGGGATGGACAAAGTTATACCAAGCAAATGGCAAAAATAAGAAAACAGAAATTGTGATCTCGATATCTGACAAAGTAAATTTCAAGTGAAAAAGAAAACAGTAAGAGTAAAAAAAAGATTTTTTTATAACTAAGACAAGTAAAAAGGATGATCATTTGTGATAAAAACATGATTAACAACAAAGATATAGCAGTTAAAGATATTCCATAATTGAGACTGACAACCCATGTACTATGTTACTAAAGGTGACACTTTTAGACAAGAAAAAGGCATCCAAGAGGAAAACATTTGCCAAAAATGTTTCTTTAATCAAGAAGAAAAGTCAACAACTTCTAAGGTAAATGGCAGAGTAAAGCCAGACAGTATACCAAAAATGTAGTCTAATAAATTAAACAAACTAAAAGAAAAAATAAGGAATATATAAATATATGTATATATGTGTGTGTATATATATACATATATATATATCTCACATTTTTTCCATTCATCTGTTGATGGACATTTAGGTTGTTTCCACATCTTAGTTATTGTGAATAGTGCTGCAATGAACATAGGAGTGCTAATATCTCTTCAAGATTTTGATTTCAATTTTTTACAATAAATACCCAGAAGTGAGATTGCTGGATCATACAATAGTTTTATTTTTAATTTTTGAGGACCCTCCATACTGTTTCCTATAGCAACTGCACC